GGCACATCCCTACCCTAAACGGGCAAGAGTACCCCCCCCCCCCCCCCCCCCATGTAGGAATAATCAGGGGACTTTCATTTCCACCACATAAACATTTCTCCAATGTATGACTCACAATTTTATCACTGCCGTAAATATTCTCAAGCTGCTTGGCTGCCTCAAGGGTTCCATCAGGACTTCCATCGTCAATGACTATAATCTCAAAATCATGTCCACTATAAAAAATAAAAACACCAGCTTACATATTGAATCAAATTTTGCAATGTTTTCTTCAAATTGTCTGGTTCGTTCGTTGTTTCACAAGCAAGAAAGCTACGTTATTATCTTTACAAAACAAGATAAATTCAATTTCTTTTTGGATATGTCTTCTTTTCAGCTTCGATTATTTCTTTTCCCTGTCTTGTCCACGTAAACAACAAAGACAAATATGCACAAAGTCCAACTTTGAAGTTTGAAAACTAGGCTCAAATCTCGTTAGAACTATAAGAAATAAGAAATAAAAGGTTCCAAAGGGAAGTTAAAAGTTATTATTTACCTTTCTGTGAAAGCTTTAACAATTAACCAAACGATAAGCGGTAGATTTTCTCTCTCATTGTAAGTGGGAAGAAGCACAGAATACTTGTTGGGCGCCATCTTGGATCGATTTGACGTGGCACCGCACCACAGGGATCCCACTACCCCAACCAAGGAACTTCCTTCAGTCGCTGAAAGACTGAAACAGCCTCTGGGCTAAGTCAAGGCATGACTTACTCATAGATAGAACCCTGAAACAACCTCTGGGCTGATGTAAGTCAGTACATGGCTAACTCACAGATCAATTTGGAATTTAGCATTAGATTTTGCTGAGAGAAATGCCGAAAAAACTCCCAAATCAAGGAAAACCCAACCAAGTCTACCCAAGTGATGACGGGTCCAGGAATTGAAAAGGGGCTTGAGCCCCTTATGCCCAAAGAAGGCAAGCCCTCTTCTCTCAGGTCATTTAAGACCCAAGTATTTTCCTTCCGTTTGGAATATTATATCTTTGTTCAACAAGCCCAACTGAGGACATAACAATAGTTTTCCAATTCTCAGGAGATTGAAATTCTTTTGTTTTGTCCTCCAAATTGAGCTGCTTTGACGTCACATGCAAGAGGTCTATTTGGAGGACATAACAATAGGTTTCCAATTCTCAGGAGATTGAAATTCTTTTGTTTTGTCCTCCAAATTGAGCTGCTTTGACACATACAAGGGGTCTTTACAAATGGAAATCAAACAAAGAACAATATTTTCAAGAGATCAGTGACACATGGTCTAAAAGTATTCACCATTTTCCATACAATCAGTTCACTGGTCAAACACAAAGAGCTCAAGCGAGGCACCAAGGTACTTTCAAAGGATTATTCAAATTTGAACCTTGCAACCTGGACTGAATGCTTTGTGTTTGACCAGCGAACCAGTGTATGGAAAATGATGAATGCCAACATTAAAAGAAATATAGTATTTTTTGCATGCTCTGTTCAGTAATACAGAACTTGGAGTACCAAAAGCACTCTTTAAAATAAGAAATGAGAAGCACTCACTAGGTTTAGAAATAAGATGCTTTGTAGTTTTCAATGCTGTCCTTTTAAAGGATATATCTTTGCTAAGGTGTGAGAACATCTGCACTGTGCTCTGTTCCCCAATGCAGYACGGTTCTCAACCAATCAGAGCATGCATGATATGCATAAGTTATTCATCTAGTTCAGAAAAGTTGTTGATCAGAGATCTGAAATCTTGCAATTTTGCAACAAACCGATTAACAGCTTACAACCCATAATAGACCTTATTCTTCTTGGTGTAATGTTTTCCCATTTCACACCATGTCATTCCCTAGGGTATCATTTTTTTGTTTAACGGTTGTGCACGAGAAGACACCTGAATGTGGATACAACTCAAACAAAGAATCTTATTCTCAAGAGAATGACACATGGTCTGAAATGGGGAAACATTGCACCAAAAAAATTTAGGTGTATTCATTTTGGTTTTAATTTTCAGATCTCCAACCAACAATTTTTTGAAATAGGTGTAAAAATATTGAGTAGGTAATGTAATAATTATTGACAATTGACTTCAGATGTAACAAATATTTTATTAGGATTCCAAAGAAGGTCACATTTAAGCACTGGCTTCTTTCTTCAACTTCTTCACTTCCGATCTAAGGATGCGGTTTTTCTGTGAGCAAATAAACAAAAAACAATTATTTTCCAATTGCTTATGGTAGTAATTCATGCTGTCCTATTTTGTCGTAAATGTGCTGTTCAGAAAAAATTCTTCAATAGACCAGTTTCGAATTCCAAATTACAGCTGTGTTCCTTGATTACAGACTCATTTGCACAGGGTTAGCGTCGTATCAGTGTCTAATTATTCACAAATACCAACGGTAAAGTAAAGAATGCACAACTTCAACAATACAAACACTTTGAAACTCGACGGACCTTGACTGGGACACGTGCATATTCTGCACAAACTCAAGGCTAACCCTGTGCAAATGAGTCAGTAATCAAGAAACACAGCGGTAATTTGGAATTCGAAACAGGTCTATTGCTTAAGGTAATTCAAGCTGTCGTATTTTGTTGTGAATGTACTGTTCAGAAAATGCGATAGGAATCATGTTGTTCATAACCCAGTGCAATTCATCATGACAGTAACCTTTCATTTTGTTCTTTTAAATTAAATTAAAATACCAACAGTAAAATAAAAAATGCACAGCTTGAGCAATGCAAAGACTTTGAAAATCCACAGACCTCCAATGAAATGGATGACTAATTCCATACAAAATCAAGACTAACCCTGAGTAATTGACTGTTTTCTCAAGGTTGTGTGTGCATCCAAATTTAAGGAAGTTGACGGGCCGCGATACCAGAACACGAGTATTATAATGCATTGCTATGAAATTTTTAAGAATTTATAAAATCGATTATTCTCCTCTTTAAATATAAAACTGGCTTCTCAATTTTACTGAATTTGCGTTTTTCAGTTTTGTGGCCTGTCAACCTCGAAAAAATGGTCTATATAAGATCTGAAACTCAAGAGTTAATACAAAGCAATTCTACTTAAGCCAATTAGGAGCAAGCAAAGAATCCTACACCTGGTTACATCACATATTAATGTAGATATTATCAAGAACGATTTGATTTTTGAGGGGGAGGAAAACCGGAGAACACGGAGAAAAACCCTTGAAGCACAGGAGAGAACCAACAAACAACTCTGCTCACATACGACATTGAGATCGGCAGGACTCCAACTCAGGCCACATTGGTGAGAGGCAGTGCATTAGCAGCGCACGCCACCGGTGCTTTCCACAAAATGAGAGATTGATTGGCTGAGATTAAAATGATTGTGGTTCTGCTCTCTCCTGACTGGGTACAGTTCTCACTTTTAGTTGTCAAGATTGATTAACTTTATAAGAGTAATACTAGTTGGTGTGTGTCTGCATTCCAAGTCACAAAAACCCACAATATCATTTGAGTTACGGCCATTTTCAATCACACCTGCAGCTCTAGCAATTGTTTCTGTTGCAATGAAGAAGCTTTTGGTGGACATCAATCAAGGCGTTTCCATGACACTTTATAGGCACATGCTGTTATAGTTTTGTGTTTTCCAACAATGTTATGGAAAYGCCTTGTGATTGACCTCCACCAAGATCTTCTTCGTTGTGTCAGAAATAATCGCTAGAGGGCGCGTGTGATTGAGAATGGCTGTAAGGTGGAACCAAACTAATTTAGATCAAATATTGGAAAACAATTTTCTGGCTCGCTTCACAAAACTAGTGTGTCAATTTAACTGGATTTTTCATATAATGTGCTTGGATTATCTAAATTCTAATAGTGTATTTTATTTTAAGATTTTTTAAGTATTTAGCCTATGATTACTGAAAATCGAATAGTTCCATTTTTAGTTTTTGGCTTTTTCTCCTCATCCTCAGGTACAATTACATGAAAAATAATTTGATATGGTTTTGCGAGCATTAGAAACATGAAACAGGCCAGAAAACAAACCTTTTGCTTGGCAAGCTTGAGCTTGAAGCGGTCAAAGTCAGTGAGAGTTGTCCTCTTCTTGCGCATCGTTAACTTCTTACTCCAGGCAGTGTTTTCCCACTTACCCTGGATGTCCTCTTTTTCAAATGCCTTTTTCACTGGACCACTTCTAGCTGACCTGCTGACCTTGATCTTGAAGTCAGTGAGGGAGAGGTATTTGAAGTTGATAGCTTGACGACATACACTGGTGCAAGGACCATCAACCAAAGCCTTTAAAAACAACATAAAATTAATATTAATATTATAAATATATGCTTTGTATGCTATGTGGAGTTRTAGCCCTTGAGAATTCACCTTTTCAGCGCTAGCCGTCACGTGGTATAAGTTGTGTTGGATTGTGTTACGGTCGCCAAGAAGTTCGGACATTGCTCTTGGATTTCCGTACAAATGTACTGACTTTAAATGAACTATTTACTTGGTTTGTTTAGTTAGTTCTCTAAATACAAGTAAAATATCATTTTTCTAACTTGATTGAAGCTTTTCTTGTTGCTGTTAAGAGAGCTAACTAAAGAAATCTATCTAAATTTTCTCTTTAAACTCAGTGAATTTGTATGGGAATCCAAGAACGATGTCCGAACTTTTTGGTGACTGTAACCTAATCCAACAAAGTGTTTACGACGTGACGGCTATCGCCGAAAAGTTGAATTGGCAGAACACTTGAGAAGTGTTGAGAAGCAATCTTATGTTTCATGTTTCTACGTATCTGTTTTTCCAAATCCTGTGTCTCTTATAATTGCACACATTATTTGCATACATTTTCTATTTTTGACATTAAAAACCAACCAGAACCAACATAATAAAGTCAACTTTGCATGCTAAGAGATTCCAGAATTTAAACTTTTCAAAATGAGGGATATATAAGTAGTTTTGCATGAGGAAAATTAGAACCTTCTAGTCTTGCGTTGTTCAGAATATGCAATTGGAATCATCCTTATCATAACCCAGTGCAATTCATCATGACAGCAATTATGAAGGCTATCTGTGAATTCTCATTGTTACGGCATGTCAGGTTATATAAGCGCTATAAGTCAGTACCGTATGTTTCTCACTCCTATGATAACCATTCTTATAGGAAGTCATTTCAATGTTACAGCATGTCATACCATATACGTGCTATAAATCAGTACCATATNTATAGGAAGTCATTTCAATGTTACAGCATGTCATACCATATACGTGCTATAAATCAGTACCATATGTTTCTCACTCCTATGATAACCATTCTTATGGGAAGCCATTTCAATGTTACAGCATGTCATACCGTGTACGTGCTGTAAGTCAGTACCATAAGTTTCTCACTCATACTATGACCATTTGTATGAAGAGTCATTTCAATGTTACAGCATGTCGGACTGTGTATGTGCTACGAGTCAGTACCATATGTTTTTCACTCATACGATTACCATTCCTATGGGAAGCCATGCAAGTGTTACTTCACGTCACACCCTGTACGTGCTGTAAAGCAATGCTGTATGTTTCACAATCACATGACAACTATTATTCTTATGTGAAGCCATTTCCGTGTTACAGCAAGTTGTACTGCGTACGCACTGTAAGTCAGTACTGTATGTTTCCAACTCACAAAATAACTATTCTTATAAGAAGCCATTTCAATGTACATGCTGTAGGTATTATGTTTCCCGCCCATAAGATAACAACTCCATTGCTTTCCACTTATTTGAAACCAATAACTACAAAAAAAATTTTTTTAGTGCGTTTCCATCCAATTGAAAAATATATCGTGAAGTAAATAAAAAAGCAGTAAACATTATCTTTAAAATCAGATATTAATTATGATTCCTATAGTTTTAATAAAATTATCTTCACTTAATAATGATTTTGATTTTGAACATGAAAAATTCTGAATTTAATAAAATTTGTTTAAATTTAGAGTAAAAATGAGTACTAATATTTCAAATAAACTTTGGAACATAGCAAGACAGAGATTCTTAGAGCTTTGGAAAATAAAAATAGGTTTTTAAATATCGTTTGGCGGTAATTTTTTAGGAAAAAACGTACGAAAAACGTAAGAGAAGACGTATGTATAGCGAAGAATCTTCAATAAAACGGTACAAATTTCTTCACCATAAGCACTAACTGATACATTTAAACACATAATATTATTAGACAGTCAATTAAAGTTCAAACTACACCAAAGAAGGTTCATTTAAGTGCCAAAAATATATAAAAAAGAAGACTTAATTCATGAAAATTCGTAAAAATTTACGAACCCTGTTCTGGTCGACGACATCAACGATGACACAAAGTTTGCCTTCATCGGCTCCACAATTGATCAAGGCGACTCGGCCGACCTCTACAAAACGATTGTACACCTAAAGAACAAGTGTGCAAAATATTATTAGGATCGGAGGATTTTTTGGGGGAGAAATAAAGGCCTAAAGTCAAGTATTCTGTCTACACGTGGACCCACCATTTTGGATTGAAGGAAAGAGGAAGGTAAAGGAAGGTCCCGGATCAATGAGCCCGCTATGGATTCTGGGTAGTATACTCTCCACAGGAAGCCCAATTTCGCATACTTCGCGCTTTTGAAGGAAAATCTTCTTAAAGTCATTTAAATTTTGCTATTTCATTAAAGAGATCGTCCATAATTTGTTTTCAAACACAGATTCATTGCAGTAATACATGGACTGTCAGCGTAGCGGCAGCCAAACCTCGCCTTCACATTGCTTTCAAATTCTTTCGGTCCAACTTTCATTTCGACCACGTTGAGCTGTTCCACTGCTGTACTTGCGCCCGGGGGGGGGGGGGGGGGACACTCCCCTATATTTGCTATACGGGTATGTGCCGCCCTATAGGGTATGGTTTTTCGGCTTTTGGGTCTGGGATAGGGTATCATTTTAGTCTGGGATAGGGTTAATGATTTTGTCGTTTTTGTCTGGCGAATAAGCTGCGCTTTCTGCCGACCAAAAACAATAAAAATGTTAGTAAATATTGATTGCAATCGATTGTAAAACCGTATTTTCCGTCTTTTAGTCTGGGATAGGGTGTATAATTCTTAGTTTTAGTCTGGGGTAAGGTATGTAAAATCAAAATTTTAGGTCTGGGATAGGGTCAGGGTTTTGAGGTCCTGGCGGCACACCCCTACCCAAGTTGGGGTGGTAGTACCCCCACCCCCCCGGGTACTTTCGATGGTGGATTACCGATAAAACTTTTTATTATTATATGAAACGACTTTTTTACGTACTGTAACAACAAAAATTAAAATATTTCTGATACTTTAAATATTTTAAAGGGTTTAAAAACTCTGAGTTTAACGATTATTTCATTACATGTCGAGCTTTCAACCAAATGCACATGTCAATCGACCACCCCAACCCCCCCCCCCCCCCAACTGAGTGGACAGAGGGGGGCGGGAAGGGGGGTTGGAGATTTAACTTTAGCACTTTCCCCGGTTTGCCGGGAAAAGATTTGCCGATTAAAATTATTGAAGTTGTTGCTGTTACATGTTGTTAATCTGTGTTCGAGTAGGCGTTAAATCCCCTTATACTAATGCATTCACGCTGTTTTGAAAATGCGCGTTAAACCCTGGTTCTCGCCGCGTTGATTCCTCGCCCTGTCCAGGGGGTTGGGGAACAGAGGTTTCCATTAACTAGTCATAATGGGTCATCTTTAGCCTGAAGCGTTACTAGAAAACAAGGAAATAATACTCAAGGGAATTAAATGAAATGGAGAAACATTATCAAGAACTAGACCGGTCTAGTGGAAATATTCCATTTACAATTTAAATATCCAATCTCTTTCTTTCTACATAGTTATTTATTTATAAAAAATTACACATATATATCCTAATTTATTATCAAGTATTATGCATAAATTGAGATATCTTTGCCTTTTAACAAATACTAATTTAATATACACTTATTTCAATAAAGTTAGTCACCTGAAAAGCTATGAAGCTGAGGCCGACAAGGATTAGGGGTAGATACATTTTACACGTTCAACCGCCTGATAACTGTGGACTTGCGAATCTCTTACCGGTTACAGTCTCACCTCTTCTGAGCATCATCGAGCTGCAGTTTGTATTAAAAAAGCTTCGTATATATGTGCTTTTGTGATATGAAAAGTTTCCCATGATGCTCAGTGATCTCACCTTTCTAGGTTTTTGGTGACTAACTTTATTGAAATAAGTGTATACAACAATTTTTGGAATAATTTAACGATCAAACGTGTAATTTGTAATTTTTTATGTATATTCACGTCATATGATAGCTTTTCCTCTAATGATTTATTGTGATTTATAGTGCTACTCTGACGAAAATCGCTCAAACTCAGCTGAAACTGTGTCATACACTCAACATCAAACATTGCTACATATATTTCTTTGTATATAAATCCTTAATTTATTTTATTCCTATTAAGCCCAAAGGGTGGCTAATGTGCTTATTTCACATTACTTGTGACTATAATTTATATTTTGGGGTGTTTGGGTATTTCTTTCTCCCTTTACTACTGATATTTTGATGATAAACTACAAAGAAATGTATGGAGCGATGTTCGATGTTGAGTGTATGACGTCACAGACTCCAAAAAATAATCGTAAAAATATCATAGTTTCGTCCTGAATATCGAGAAAACACTTCATACAGTGGTTATTGAAGAAATAAAAAACTTGCTTGCTGTACTGTGTGCTGTCATAAAGCACGCGGGGATTGGCAGAACACGAGAGAAGTGTTAGAAGAAGCACGACGCGTTGCTGAGTGCTTCTAGACACTTCTCTCGTGTTCTGCCAACCCCCAAGTGCTTTATGACTGCACACAGTACAGCAAGCAAGTTTTTTATCTCTTTTATAAAATACAAATTACAATAATAGATAGGAATGACGCAACGGAAAGTGAGCGCGCGTGCAATGTGCTCTCATAAAGCACGCGCTCCAAACCAATCATAACGCGACATTCATAACATTTATTTTATAATGGACCTTTAAAAAGGATTCTTAGGAAGTTTCAGCTGAATCCAAGTTTGAGCGATTTTCGTCAGAGTAGCACTTTAACATAATGTAATGTTTTTGATTTGTAAACATGAGCCTGCCCAGATTAGCTGTGCTATTTGCGGGCTCTTGTTTTCTACTACATATTGTATTAAATTTTATGAAATAAACTGTAAACTATAAACAAGGATGTGTTCAGGAGGGAAGGGACATAAGAAGTCTAGTATCCCATTCACACCAAGGCTTAAACATGTTTTAAAGTGGTTTAACTAAACACGTTTGAAAATCTATCTACGAACACTGCACAATATTTGGTGAAATAATTTATGTAAGCTATTCTTTGTCTTGCTCTGACAATATTTCAGAAAGTTTCATTATATTGTAGGTTTCTAGTTTCTCAAATTTTTTCCTAATGAAAACACAGTTTAACTAAACACGTTTAGGTGTGAATGGGGTATAGGATTTTTTGTTCCTCTTGTCATTGGTAGAAAAGGCTTGGCGGAATCGACTGGGGGCCGGTTTGGGAACTTATCGTGGCACGGGAACTGGGCAACGATTCTAGTGGGGTAGATAATAAATATTTTCAGTAACATATGAACAGAAAAATACAGCAAATAATAATATAATAAGAATAATAATATTCATTCATAAAGCGCAAATACAAATTTGTTCTAAGCGCTAGTAAAAAGGATTATTACAAACAACAAAAACAACAACAACAAAAAGTTATTTACAAAAAAAAAAAAGCTAATTTGAAGAGATAAGATCTTGCAGCTGTGAATCTCTACTGGACGCAGTAAGCAGAACAGGTTTGCAGATGAACGTTTTTTCAAATAAAAACTTGCCCCTATGGCTGGGATTAGTGGTTGGCGAGTACTTTTGTAAATACTTTCATGCGAAAGCAGGGACGTAGCCAGGAATTTGACTGAGGGAACCTGTTTTTAGAACATCGTTAAGTCTTAAGTATTTAACACGTGAATTTATTACTCTACTCTTCGCTACTCTGCTCTGCTGTACTCCATTCTGCTTTTATACTACTCTGCTCTGCTAGATACTGCAAGTAGATACCGCATAGCAGAACATAGCAGGCTGCGCAGAGTAAAGTAGTGAAGTAGTGTAACTCATAGCAGAGAAGGGCAGAGCAGAGCAGAGTGTATGGGTGAAGGATGGGTGAATGAGTGTATGGGTGGGGGATGGGTGAATGAGTGTATGGTAAAGAGATGGGTGAATGAGTGTATTGGTGAGAATTGGTAAAATTAGTGTATGGATGAAGGATGGGCGAATGAGTGTATGGCTGAGGGATGGGTGAATGATTGTATGGGTGTGGGATGGGTGAATGAATGTATGAGTGGGGGATGGGTGAATGAGTGTATGGGTGAAGGATGGGTGAATGAATGTATGAGTGAGGGATGGGTGTATGAATGTATGAGTGAGGGATGGGTGAATGAGTGTATGGGTGAGGGATGGGTGAATGAGTG